GCCTACATTAAGAGCAGCATCATCAATTACATTTGCATAATAATTGTATAATTGTTGTAAATATTCATTTAGCTTGTTCATACAAGTATATAAATCTGGGGTTTCAGTTGGTCCAATCTCCATATAAGTATATAAAGCATTCATTAATTGGTGACAATCAGACATCTTAATAGAAGGATTTAAAACAGCACCAATTAAGTAAATCGGAGGAATTCGAAAGAAATACTTTTTGAATTTTGCTTGCATTTTTTCAACAACATCCCTATATTTTTCTTTCTTCTTAAATTCAAAGAGTAGAAAAGAAATTTCAGCTATATGTACTAAAGCCATAGTAACAGTAGGGTAATATGCTCCAGAAAACTCAACAGTAACTGTATAAAATTTATGTAAAAAGTTAACAACATCATTAATGACCTCCCAAGTAGTAGTTGTTAACATACAGTTTGGATCAGTACAATGCGCATTAGCAACTTCAGTTATTGGGAATCTATATTTGTAGCAACATTTTAAAAATATATATGTATAATTCCATCTAGTAACAATTTTGTCTGGCATGAATCTGGGTTTAAGGTTATACTGGACACACTTATTCTTAAATTCCTTTATTCTAGATTGTCTATTATTTCCTTGAATAACACCAACTGCTCTTCTAACATGAGTAATCTCAGTTGAAAATAAATCAAGGCCACTTTTAACAATTAAATTATAAACATGACATGCACACCTAACATGAAAAATTTCATCAAGAGGTGGTTGCAAATGCAGTTTTAATATTGAAATTGCGGCATTATTGTTAGAAGCATTATCAAAAGACATACACAATACTTTTTGCTTGAGATTATAAAATTCAACAACTTCACAAATAGTACTACTTATAAACGCAACAGTATGACTCTGATCTTCATCATATCTAAAAGCGATAATACGTTTTTGCATACAAGTAGTATCATCTATCCAATGACATGTAATTGTCAAATAATCATTTCCATTAACAGCATGGCCAATATCAGAAGTTAGAGAAACTCTACAAGGAAGGTGGCTAAACAAATAACGTATGTATGTTTGATACTGTCCATGAAGTCTAAAGATACCAGCTCTACAAGTACTTCTAGGGATACCTTTAAATAAAGGATTGTAAATCCTTTGAATATACATAATAAGATATGATGAAGAAGCAAAAGGAAAAGGTAGACAACCCAAATCAATCATTTTTGCTAACTCCTCACGATCCTTTATTTTATCATATTTCACAAGACCACCAGTAGTAGGGTTTAGAGTTGATTGATTTCCATCTCCATCAGATCCCCATTTTATAGGATACTCAATTCTCATATGCCTACTAAGTGTCCCAGTCCCCCCTAATTGACCCCCAGTCTTATGTTTAAAAGTATCATTACAAAGTTTACATTTAACTCTATCAGTACCTTCTATTTCCTCAAAGAATTTCCAAACCTTACTTCTTTTTCTACGATTACTAGTCGGGGCCACAGGTGGTCTACTACTAGCAACACGACCACCACCCCTGCTAGCAGCTCCAACACTACTAGGTGTAAGTGGTATCTCATCTTCCATTTCTAATTCATTATCATCTATACCAAAATCTTCCTGCAATTGTTCATAGTCTATATTATTATCAGTTAATGTTTCAGGAATATTTGGAGAGGTATTTAAATTACTACCAGATGTTGAACCTGAAGTACTACCTCTTTTTTTATTTCCCCGATTAGTAACCTTGTTACAAACTCTTTTTGCAACATTAAACATATTGTAAAAATTAACTACTAGAAACAAAACAAATAAATATGCAAGTAAAATAGTAAATAAGAGAAAGAGTTGGAGGGAGTGCACCGNAAAAAAAAATTATTTTTTTTACCATTAAACCGGGTCGGGCTGGGCCGACCCGGTTAACCGGTTTACGGGTACTGTTCACCTAACGCGTTGGACCGATCCGGGTAACCGGTATTTTAATGGTAAACGGACCAACCCGTCTGTCCCCCCCAACCCAGCCCTCTTTAACCGGTCCGGGCCGGTTCCGGTTTTAACCGGGTTGGGCCGGTCCGGAACCGGGTTGACCCGGCCCGTTTAACACTCCTAACTTGGGCTGGGTTGGGCAATGACCCATTTAATGACTCAACTCATCTTGACTCGCCCAAATTCAGTCAAATCCGCCCATTTGCCACCCCTATCAGTAAGGAACTAAAGAAGGGTTAGCACGTGGCTTAGCCAAACATTTGCAGTTTTCCCGAAATGCCCTGACGATCCCAAGTTCCTCAGACTATCCCTTATTAATAAGAAGAACTAGTTGGAGGTAGCCCGGGCTGTCCCTGCGCCCAATTTTATAATAATAATAATAATAATAATAATAATAATAATAATAATAATAATCATGTGATTTTTAGTAATAATAAGAATATATATTAAATACTTATGTTAAACGAAATCTCAGAAATTATTGGAGTAAAATTTAATGCGATTTGGTGTCAATTTTAGCCTAAAACTTGTAACATGTTCAACTCGTCAGGTAAAAATTGATCTTAGAAATATACTCATTGGTGATGCCTAAGTTCAAACTTGGAGTACCTAAATTGATTCATAAAAACAATTTTGTCAAACAAAATTATTGTTTGATTTGTTATGTAGTTTTCTCCTTACAACTTTCTTTTGTAAGAAAAGATAAAAACCTTTTTAAATTTGGTAATAATACACAATATAAATGAAATTTGATTCTGAATTACCAATTTGAATTATGATACGTTGTTTAGTTTGATATCGATGCAATAAATTTTGATCTTCTTAAATTTTGGACTATATGAGTTACAACTCATTTAATAACCCAACTCATTGATACTACAAGGATTATGATGGGATGAAAAAATTTCACGCTCCCAACAAAAGATAATGATTTTGAGCCTCGGTTAGCCCTCTCCTTGTTAGAACCAGGGGCGGATTCACGCTTGCCGAAGCGGTGTCACGCGACACCGCTTCGTCGGAAAATTTTACTCAATATATGTATTAATACTATACGGAAATGGATAAGTAGGAAAAAATGACGCCACTTGATATAAATTGTATTTTGGTGTGTTGGTTAGGTGCTTGATTTTCCTCTAAGAGGTCAAGGGTTCAAACCTCAATTAGAACATTTTTCTTTTGCAAATATTTGACAGAGCCTTCGTGGTTAAAAATTGTGTTGAAGTAGAATTGAACTCGGGATCTTTTCCAATTTAAGACTCAACAAAACCAATAGACTATGACTATTTCTTGTTTAAAAATATGATACATAAAGTTATATTCCAATTCTTCTATAAATTTCGACACCGCTTACAAAATTTCCTGCGTACGCCCCTGGTTAGAACGAACTTCAATATTGATATCGGACACCGATTTCAGTGCCCGTTTGGACATAAAATTTGATGGAAGATTTTTCCAAAAAAAAATTATTTTTTTCGAAATTAATGTTTGTTCATAAAATTTCCAATTTTCACTTAAAATGCATTTTGGAAATTTTCGAAAATTTGAAAAACTGCAAAAAACTGTTTTTCAAAATTTTCACTCAAATCACTCACAAAACTTCAAAAACAATCCAAACTAAAATTTATGTCCAAACACAATTTTAAATTTCAAATACCATTTTCTTGAAAAAAAAATTCACCACCTTTTCGAATTTTACAATTCTTTATGTCCAAACGCCTACTAAGTCATTTGACTCCCTTTCAACTCTTCCATTTGACACGGAAAAAAATAAAAAAAAAAGAAAAGAAAAAGAAAAAACGAACAACAACTGGGTAAACTTCAACAGTTCTAGTTGCACCTATTTCTTGCCACCCGCGACCAAAATAGGAGCAGCTGCAGCTTTGCATTAGCCTACCACCCCCCACCCCCCGCGCCCCACACAGATCACAACAAACCCCGTCCAGGCTCCAAACCTCAATCTTTGTAACAAAGCTGCCGCCGCCAAATAAGGAAAACGTTTTTCTGTTAATGTCTGATACCCTCTCTCTTTCTTACTTCATTTCTTACTCATTTAAGCATTGTGAATAAAACAAGGGGGAAAGCTCATAGCTTTTGTTTTTTGTAAGTTGTTACTTACTACTATTATTTTGTTTTATCCATTTTGTAATTGTGTTTCCTTTAATCTGCTAATTGCTTGCTAGCTTGATCAGGATAAAGATGACGTATTTAATCCTAATACATACGTATCTGCTTGTTGGGTCACATAGCCTTGCATTGGATTTGATTTTTTTGTTGTCAGGTTAGAATTTACATTCTAAATTTGATGGATTGAAGTTTGGAATTAGTCTTTCCTGTAGATTCTTTGTTTCCTTATCAATTACGTTTCACTGTGCAACAAACATATGGTCTTTGTACTAGGAACTTCTTGCTTGTAAGAATTTTGTATATAAACACTTTTTCTGCTCATATTAACAAGGCATTCAAGTGGAAAACATTGAGGGACTTGTGACTTAAGTCACAGGTTCGAGCCTGATGGTAACGGCTGGTCCTAAGGGTTGGCCCTGGACAGATTTCTCCATCATTAAAAAAGACAAGGCGTTCCCTTTTTCTTAGCTCTTCCGGAACCGTATTTTCTATGTTGTTTACCTCTGTTAGGGGGTTGTTTGTTGGGGGGTTGG